TTTGCTTTTGCCGGCCCGGGAAAAAGCAAATTGGAAGTCTGGACCATTTTGCTTTTTCTGGCCCGGGAAAAAGCAAATTGGAAGTCTGAACCATCGGGAAAAAGCAAATTGGAAGTCTGAACCATCGGGAAAAAGCAAATTGGAAGTCTGGACCATTTTGCTTTTGCCGGCCCGGGAAAAAGCAAGTTGGAAGTCTGAACCATTTTGCTTTTTCTCGGGTTGGAAAAAAGCAAATTCGAAGTCTGAACCATTTTGCTTTATCCCGGCCCGGGAAAAAGCAAATTGGAAATCTGAGCCGGCCGGGAAAAAGCAAATTGGAAGTCTGAACCATTTTGCTTTTTCCCGGCCCGGAAAAAAGCAAATTGGAAGTCTGATACATTTTGCTTTTTCCCGGGCCGGGAAAAAGCAACCTGGAACCTCCAACGTAACGTTTATTAATGCTCCACCACATGTTTGTAACATTTTCAGTTCTCTCGAGCCTTTATAGAAACATGCCTTGCTTTGAGAACCTCTCGAGCGTCTTTTGGGAAGTCGAGCGTTTTCCATTCAGCAGCCGTTTGTGGCCATATCTTGTGCGCCAAAGATGGCCGGATTGGCTCAGTGCTCCCTGTACTATGCCTTTCACTGTTTATAAGGTGCAAACACCGCAATTTGGATAAAGTTTCTTAGATGTGAAGACCAAAAAGTATGGACGAAGACTTATTTGTGAGACTGTGTGTTGTGCACGCATCACCTCATACTTGTTGGAGAAGTCTTCACCTGAGCTCAGCTCCAGGTACATTGGGATGGCATGGTGAAAAGAGCACGTGTACTTGGAACTCGGCTTAAGGTACAGCTGCCCTGTTTGGTTTCTAGTGGTCTTCGGCCCAAAGGGTTTTCCTACCACATCCCATTGTTTTGTTGCAAGGTTCCTATCGTGGCCTGTGGCTGCTACAATTGATAGAGGTCGCCCCTGCATGTATTGCACTGAATCAAAATCTGGAGAAACAACCTTTCAAGAGATGACTGAAACTCCTGAACAACTTCCAGTCAAGAAGAATACCAGAACATATGGATCTTACCGATTGACAGGCGCTGACCTGAAGGCACCTGAAGGTCACTGGAGGCAGGTGCTTACCGAGCTCCCTTGTCCGTGGTGTTGTTCCAGCAAATGAGACTTGTCAGATCGTAGAAGATTGATCTTCTAGAAGTTGTTTTTGCTGTGCGCTCATATCGCCAACGTTTCCCCCAGCATTTGGCTTGACTAGTGCGTGGGTTCATTTTGTGCAGCTTGCTTGTATTGCCATGGCTAGTCCAGTTGCTGATGCATGGCTTGCGAACAAGCTGTTGTCAGCACGTGGTGCTGTTGGTCAGTTAGTGACTGTGGCGGGGGCTAGCCTGACTAGAGCAGATGTGATTGCGAATGGCAGTGTGTTGGGCCCTTTGCTATTTCACATGGGGGCAAAGGTTTCCATCGATGCCCTGACAACAATAGTGGAAGAGTTCTTCTTTTTGGCCCGGCCTAGAGGAAAACCTCCTTTATCCCGTTCCTTGCTAGCAATCATTTGCCAAGAGTGTTACAAAAAACAATTGTGTCCTGAAATGTGTGGCTTGATTCTATCTACATGGTTCTAGTTCTGGTTTGCCCTTCATTTGCCCAGGTCATGTGGCCAGAGGTCAGGCATGGCTGATCAAGAGGCTGGTCTCTCTGTTCACTCGAGCTGCAGCCCGTGGACATTACCCACGGGAAATGGGGATGAGGGCCATTTTTGAGATGGCTGACATTCCGTTGCCAAGTGATCCTCGTTTCTTAGCACATCGTTCAACATATATATGTTTACAAAGTCCTTTTCCTTCAGTAGTAGCTTGTACAACCACACCTCAGGTTGTAGCAGTTCATCTGACTTGGCCGAATACGATGATGGTTCCGCTCTCTGGCTGGAAGTATGGAAGTTGAAATCTGACCAGCATGAATACACTTCTACTGATTAAGGCTGAATCCACTGGTCCTGATGCCAGTGCTGTTGACCCTGAAGACCCTGACGATCCCATGGACGGCCCTCCAACCGCATCTAATTAAGAAAGAGCCGAGTGACCATTCACGGCTTGCATCTTCTGAGGCGATCTGCCTGATGAGGATGAGGACGGGGAAGAGGAGGAAATGGAAGAAGACATGGAGGTAGACCCAGTTGCTTTTACCTCACCTATTTGCAAAGCACCCCCTCCTGAGATCTCAGAGGTCTCGCCTAGGGTTGCTTCTGAGAAGGGTGAAGTTGGGCCCACCCCTCCCCCAAAAGGTTCCTAAGCTGCATGTTACTGATATCTAGCATTTTGTTTTTGGGCATTCGTATTTCATCCACTCAAACTGGAACTAGTGTGGCAGTACAATTGAAAATCCAAGGACTTGCCTTTGGAGATCTGCCCAGTGCTGAGAAGCTTCCCGACCCAAAGTGTACGACTCACGCAGCGGATACCATGTTGAAGGAACCTGAGTCTTTGGTGAAGGATGATCCGGCTTATGCCCTGGCACTTATGCAGACAGAGCTTCAAAACCTTGAAGCAGAGCAAGCCCTTTTTGAGGAACTCTTGTTGCTTGAGTTGGATGAACACTCCATGCATGTTGAGCTAGAGAACCAGAAGCTTAAAGAAGAACATGAAGCTCAGCGATCCATGTTGAACTCAAGCATCCCTGCTTCAAGCGCAGTTGCTCCGAGTCCCTCGGAATTACCTTTTGGTTGTGTGAATGATTGCAACAAAGCTCGGTAAGACTCCCTAGTTGAGCCCTTTAAACGAAAAACATGCGCGTGCAGTTTACTTTGCCAGGTGCTGTGTACATGGACATCGACAATATGGAAACATTGCCGATGGATTGCGATTTCGTGCACAAGGACTGCACATGTTTTAGAATTTAGTCCACATACCACACACACACAAAAAGAAAAACAGGAGCCTCCTTCTGCCGTGGCTGCTGGAGAACTGGCTGAAGTTCGTGAAGAGCCTTGGGAGCCGGGCACCATTCGGAAGGACGATCCTTTGCCAGCTGAACCTACTGTAAAGAATCCTTTGCCAGCTGAACCTACTCTGAGGGATCCTGTGCCAGCTGAACCTACCGTAAAGAACCCTTTGCCAGCTGAACCTACTCTGAAGGATCCTGTGTCTACTCTGAAGGATCCTTTGACAGATCCTGTGCCAGCTGAACCTATTGCAGAGGAGCCTGTGCCTTGTGAACCTACTCCAAAGGATCCTTTGCCAACTGAACCTACTGTAAAGAAGCCTGTGGTAGCACCTATCGTAGAGGAG